GATGGGAACTTAAGTTTGGATGAGCCAGAGTATTATTTTTTAAGACTTAAAACAAATGCATCATAAATAAATGAGACCTTGGGAGCAGCAATGATTTAGGACAGTGGTTCTCAACCTTCTGGCCCTTTAAATACAGTTCCTCATGTTGTGGTGACCCCCAACCATAAAATTATTTTCGTTGCTACTTCATAACTGTAATGTTGCTACTGTTATGAATCATACTGTGAATATCTGATATGCAGGATGGCCTTAGGCGACCCCTGTGAAAGGGTCCTTTGACCGCCAAAGGGGTCGCGACCCACAGGTTGAGAACCGCTGGTTTAGGAGATGCTTTAATTTGCCCCTCAACCCGCTGAGTCTCTTCACATTTCGGAAAGCACAGTGAGTCTGCCTGCCTATTTGTCACCCCGCATGCTTTCATATTGCTTATTGTGGTGGAAATGATAAATGTCCCCCAAAGACATCCATGTCCTAATGCCCTAATGTGGGTATGCTGCCTTACTAGGCAAAGGGGACTTCACAGATGTGAGTAAGTTAAAGATCTCCAGACGGGAAGAATCTCCTGGAATATCTGGGTGGACCTGATGTGATCAGAAGGGTCTTGTAAGAGGGAGGCAGGTCAGAGGGGAGAGAAGTTGCTGTACTGCTGGGTTTGAAGATGGAGGGAGGGGCCTCGAGCCAAAGGATGCAGGCAGCCCCTGGAAGCTGGAAAGGCAAGGAAATGGACTCGTCCTTGGCGCCTCCAGAAGGAACCAGCCCAGCCTACACCTTGATCTGAGCCCCATAAGGCTCTCTTTGGAATAAGTTTGTGTTGTTTTAAGCCACAAACTCTGTGAGGATTTGTGACAGTAGCCATAGGAAACGAAAACAGCCACACTCATCCACAGCACAAGATTGCAAATTCAATAGAATGCTTTTTGATTACTGTTGCAATCAAATCCTTTCTCTAACAATTAGTCTGACTTTTAAAAACTTCGACATGGAGTCTGGCTTTCCCACTTCTTGGGCAGGTGACCTTCATTTGAGAAACGGGCCAGGGGGGTGGACTAAGTCAGGGGCTCCCACTGAGCTCCATGGAGCCCCGTGGACTCACGGGGAAGGCCCCCCCACCTTCAATCCCTCCAGCCAGAGCACCTCAGGGCTCTCTGTCCACATGCCTTGCTTCTGTGGGAGTTTATTTGAAGACAACCTTTCACATCAGAGAACGTGTTTGAAAACCACTGACTTTTTAAAATTGCTTGTAACTTGGGGATATAGAGACCTGACTTCACTGAGATGTTCTCTGAGCTCCCTGCCAGCCCCACTGGAAGCACATCCAGGATTTTTATCTGGTTCAACTTTCCCCCTTGGGAAACAGAGAGGGTGTTACCCGAGCCATTTCCGGAGACAGACTGTGCGCCCCTGGGCAAACAAAGTCACCTCTCTGAGCCTCAGTTTGCCCACTGCAAAAGGAGGGAGTGAATCATGCCCAACTCCCAGCATTTTCAAAGGATAAAAATAAAAGGACGTGACAACGTGTGGTGTCATGATAACAAAACCAATAACAATTGTCTAACACCGACTATGTGCTAAGTACCTTGCTGTGCCCTCCTTGGTTCTCACTACTCCCGTCCACGGCACACAGTTGCCATCAATTTCCAGGCTGGGAAGGAGGTGGAGCTGGGATTCCACTGGAAGGAAAGGCCACCTCGACCTGAACAGCATTGACCAGATTTCCCTGTGTGCATCCTCCCTGGCCAGGGAGGCCCTCGACCCATGGCCACTGACTACTGTGCTGATGTTTCTGTAAACAGGCGGAAATGGAAGAGCAAGTACTTAAGTCTGAGAGAACAGATTTGTTTGTGTCAAACCTCTTGCCGACTTTCCACCCCTAACATGACATATTCTTCTCTTTTTAAAGCAGGAAAAAATGCATGAGTCATATATATATATATATATATATATATATATATATATATATATATATATATATTCGTGTACAATATGTATGTTAAAAAATGTACAGATAGTATGGATGAAAAAGGGGCACAGTAATAAATCTAATTGAAAGTAACCTCATAGGGTGATTTGATCATAAATTTCTAACTGGGTAGGTCCTGGAAGGTAGTCACCTCCCAGACCTATAACTTTTTAGTAAAAGGTTTGTTTTTGCCCTCAGCAAGCCCTTTCCATATTTCTTATGCACTAGGTCCGTGGTCGGCAAACTGCAGCTCTCGAGCCACATTCGGCTCTTTGGCCCCTTGAGTGTGGCTCTTCCTAAGCCTTAGGAGTACCCTAATTAAGTTAATAACAATGTACCTGCCTATATAGTTTAAGTTTAAAAAATTTGGCTCTCAAAAGAAATTTCAATCGTCGTACTGTTGATATTTGGCTCTGTTGACTAATGAGTTTGCCGACCACTGCACTAGGTTAACACACCTTTGAGATGCCAGAGTAATCCTCTTTTGCAGACCCCTCTGAAGAACAACCACCCTCAAGAGAGCACAAAATCTTGTTAACTATTCTGTAATCCGATCCCTGCCTTACTTCCCCCCCCACCCCCCACCCCCGAACCCTCGTGCAATCTTCCTTCCTTCAGTCCAAATGTACAAACCAAACAGCAACACTGTTATTCTTCAGAACATTTGAGATCTTGCTTCCCAGCAATGTTCCTCAGTTTGGCACAAATAAAATCTTATAAAAGTTCTCTACAGGTTTGGACATTGCTTATGCCAACAACAGTCCACTGCCAGGACTCGGAGATCCGCTCTTTTCCTCAGGGAGTCCTGCCTTGCTTAGGAAAGTCAAGCGGAGCCCAAAGCGCTGGAAGTGAGACGGGCTGGTTTCTCTGGTGGCAGTTTCGCTCTGTGGGGGGCTGACTTTCAATGGGTTTGTCCTCCCACATTTCGCCAGATCAGTCAAGCAGGCCACCTGGAGCCCAGGGGAGCGAGGCCACAGGTCCCTCCCGCCTGCTTGGAGCTGTCCACACAGGAGGTCAGCAAGGGACTTACTTCACGAGCCTCTGGAATTTTCTAAGACCCTGCTCCCCTGCCACAGCAGTCCTGTAACTGGTGCCAGGCGAGGGGCCTTGGTGTTCACGTCTGAGCCGCCCACACCTACGCCCCGGGCTCGTGGCCAAGGCAAACAGGCAGGGGCAGCCACCCCTGACTAATGCCCCTCAGCGTCTGAATTGGAAGCCGTTGCCAGGGTTCAAGGAAAACCCTGGCTGCTCCTCCCCCTCTCCCCACACCCCCCACCACCACCCCCCAGGCCAACAGGACAGGAAAGCCTTCAGGACGATACACATGCACATAAAAATATATCTAGTAATAAAGTATATTTCTAGGGGCCCCCAGGAGAGGGGAAACCTTCACGAATATATATCTCCAAGTAAAAAATATACATGTGCTTCCATCCAGTAACTTCTTCCAGAAGTTATGCTCAGACTTGCCCAGAAATGTATGCGGAAGGATACAGATTGCATTTAGCATCCTGCTAAGGGGAGAGGCCGGTCCAAAGGACTGCGTTCTGCATGATCCCGTTGATATGGCATCCTGTGGGGTCAGAGGCAACAGAGGACATGCGTGGTTGCGGGGGCTAGGGGCACAGGGACAGCACAGACCCCTTCCTGGGTGATGGGAATGTGCTCATCCTGGTGGTGGGGCGCTTGTGTGCCTGTCAGACTCATGAGACCAGCGTGCGGAGAGGGAGAGGTGCGCTGGGTGAAAACTGGACCCCTACTAACCTGCTTAAAGGCGCGCATGTGGAAGGCCATTTGTGTAAGCAATGTTTGTAACAGCAAGAGACAGGAAAGACGTTAAATGCCTGGGCATAGAGAATGGTCAAATACATAATAGTAACTCACGGAATGGAGGACCGTGCAGCTACTAACAGGAAAAGATCAAAGTGCTGTCCAAGAGTTATGGTTGTATGGAAAATGGCATGCATATTTATCATTTATGTAAAAAGATATAGATGTATGTATGCTTGTATATGCATAGAGTATTTCTGGAAAGCTACAAAAAAATCTGAGAATGGTAGTTATATCTGAGGGGACTAAAGTAGCCAGCGGTGATGAGAAAGTCTAGATTTTACTTTATACCCTTAGCTAGTGCTGGTATTATTGTTTTTACCTTGAATGATAAACCTCACATCCTGGATGGCCACCCATTCATTCAATGGTTCACTGGGACTTACTGGTGAAGCAATTAGACATGGTCTCTGCTGAGTCGTGGAGCTCAGAGCCCCTCCCCTTATTAAGATCAGGTTTATTGAAGTATAATTTATGTACCATAAAATTCACCTTTTCTACTGGTTTCCACAAATACATTTTGTTGTGTAACCCCCACCACCATCAATACGGTAGATTGATAGTAGAACGGTACTATCGCCATCCCCACATTTCCTTGTCACCACTGATCTGTCTTCTGTCCGCATGGACCTGCCTTCTCCAGGATGTGGCCTTTGGAGCCTCGCTGCTTCCCTCAGGGGAATGCATTTGAGATTTACTCAGAGATTTGCGACTGCCCAGAGCCCGTTCCTTCTGGCTGCCGAGGACTAGTCCCTGCGGTGGACGTACTGCGTTGGTGCCATCTTAGGGACAAAGACGGAAGGAAAACGAGTAACCTTGACCCAGTTGGCCTGCCTGACTGCGTTCACTGGCACAGACGACAGCAAATGCCCTCCCACAGGCAGAGGCAGGTCTGGGAAGGCAGATTCGACTGTTAAGGAAAAATACACAAATGTCACTGCTTCTCCAACTGCGGACTGAGACACTCACATTCACGTTGTTGATTTTATGGGTTTTGATTGGGACAATATGCCGCCCCCCCCCCCCCCCCCCCCGTCCCCCGCTCCCAGGCCTGAAAGGGAGCAAGGGCCCCGGGAAAGCCCTGTCCCCTGGGCTTTATGACAACAGTGCCGAGTCATAGAGGCCCTGCCCGTCCCTGGGCGATACTGGTTCTCCTGGCTGTGGCCCTGGCTCTCCTGGGCAGAGTTTTGCCCTTGTGGGCTGATGGGAAATGATGGAGTTTTTGGGAACCAGTCAGAACGCCAGTTACTGTGGCCCCAAGAAAATCTGTAGCTTCACAGATCCTCTGGATGTGCAGGCCCCAGTGATACAGGAATGTTACCAGCCCTATTACCTGCCCGGGTACCGCTACCTCAACACGTGGAGACCCAGCCTCTTCCACAAGATCTCCAGCACCCAGGTCTGCCCGGAGGAGGGAGCCACATGCCAGGGCATTCAGAAGCCGCCCACCATCCTGCCCTCCCTGCGCTCGGGGCTCTTCTGTCGCTACAGCTCCCACGACTGGGACAGGTCCCACGAGATGCAGATGCGCGGGGCGGAGGCTTCTCGGCTGTGGGCCGGCCGGCTGACCGGTGACTCCATGCGGCTCATGCAGGACAAGGACCAGCTGACGAACCAGATGCAGGAGGGGACCTGCCGGAACCTGGGCCAGAGGCTGTCAGACATCGGTTTCTGGAAGTCGGAGCTGACCTACGAACTGGAGAGGCTTCTTAACGAGAACCGAGGCTTGGACGCAGTCAGGAAGCGGCTGGAGTGTGCAGCGGAGGAGGTGAACTGCCCATTGCAGGTGAGTGTGGGGCGGGGAGAGGGGCGGTGGCCCCTGCGATGCAGCCCCATCACTTCCCTTGAGCGATCACATGACAGGGACCTTGCAGGCTGGTTTGTGCTGCAACATCATCTGTAATCTGTTTATAACATAAAAAGTATAATCTTAGCCCAGCAGGGGTGGCTGAGTGGTTGAGCGTTGACCTGTGAACCAGGAGGCCAGGGTTCAATTCCCAGTCAGGGCATGACCCCCAGTGTGGGGCATGCAAGAGGCAGCCAATCAGTGATTCTCTCCCATCATTGGTCTCTCTCTCTCTCTCTCTCTCTCTCTCTCTCTCTCTCTCTCTCTCTCCCTCTCCCTTCCTCTCTGAAATCAGTAAAAATATATTTTTAAAATATATAATCTTAGTCAATTTAGGACAATCTCAGTCAAATCAGGGTTCCTCACACTGAATAGAATGTCTTCTTCTCCTTGGGGTTATATCAAAATTAAAGAGTTCCATCAAGATATTACAAGCCTGTGGGGGCCTGCATGTGTGTGATGGACACACTTAAAATAACCACTTTGTTTTCCTCCAAAGCTCTTAACACCTTCTTACAAACTCTGTAATATTCACTCTTATCCATTTACTGTGTGTCTCCCCTAGAATATAGGTGCCATGAGGGCAGGGAATTTTGTCTGCTTTGTCACCAGTGTGTTCAAGACATACTCAGCTGCGACGTGCCTGTGCATCTATGCTTGACTAGACCAGTGGCTGGAATGTCTTCCCAGCCTGGCTCAGTGTTTGGCACATAGTGGGTACTCAATAAGTATTTGTTGAATAAATATCTGCATGTGGGCACTCACGACACTTCCCTGTCTCCGGTCATATCCTAGATCGGTAAGGATGCCTTTGGGCTGCATGTGAACAAATAGGTGGTCACAGTGACCCAACCAAAGAGGAGTTTCTTTGTCTGTCAGTGAGAATTCTAGAGGGAAACACATCAGGCATCCACTTGATGCCCGAAGGCAGCCAGGCTCTGATCTTTCTGCTCAGCCACCCTTAGCATGCGCTGCTGTCCTACCGCTTGCAAGGAGGTTTCCTGTCTCACCTTACAAGCTCCCGCCTGCAAGGAGCGCTGTGATGTTCTCATTCAAGGCAGGGAGGTGGGGGTAGGGCCGTGTGCCCACTGTGTCTGTCCCTTTTTATGGGGCAGATCAGTTTTCCCCAAGGCCCCTCAAGTGATTCCATTTTTAGCCCATTTGCCGGAACTCACCTGGGCTCCCTGACTCATGAGGCTGGGTGAGTGAGTGTTTTTCTCTGGGTCCTGAAGTGGACTTTGGGTAAGGAACCGGCAGTATCTGCCTCATGCTGGGGAACTCATCTTGGCCACACAGATGATGTTCGCGGGCTCCCTGGAGTGTGTGGGGACTCAGAACCTCCTACCTGGAAACGACGTCAGGTGTGGGGACTTCTGCAGGAGACGTCTTGTCTCCAGACCCCTCGGGAGACATGGCACAGGGTCCGTCCACTCTGGTGGGGTGGGGGCGGGGTCCTACTATCTCCCCACACCCCTAAGTTCCTCCCCTGGGAAGAGAGTGGGCAGGGATGCTGCTCAGAGACCCAGGGCAGCGTCCCAAATCTGTGTTCTCCTCTCCCCCTGTCTCCTTACCCCCAGCCTGTGTGGAAAGCCCAGCTCTGCCCGTCACATGTGCCTCCTCAGACAGCCACGAGGTGGCACAGGCGCCAGAGTCATCTCAGTTCTGTCCACTTCTCTTCATCTCCATGGTTACCACCTCAGTCCGGGCGTCTCTCACTGGACAGTGGTGACTGCCTCCCCCCCTGGCCTCCCCACGCCTACTCCCCTCTAACCCCTTTCCCAGACAGCAGCCAGAGGGGTGATTTTCAGTATTGAACTGGATTTCCCCACTCCCCCGCTAAAGCCACCTCAATGGCTTCCTAATGCTCCCTAATTACCAACGACATTACTAGTCACAGCCTCTAGCACTGCATGACCCAGCTTCTGCTCATCCTTCCAGCCTCCCTTTCTCCACTCCAGCCTCAGTGGCTTTCTCCCCGTCCTCCTCCTCCTCCTCCTCCTCCTCCTCCTCCTCCTCCTCCTCCTCTGACCTAGGCCTTTGCACCTGCCGCTCCCTCTTCCTGGCGCATTGGCCCCATTCATCGCTGCTGCTTCTCATGATCCAGGTCATGGTTTGTCACCTCCGAGAAGTCCTCCCTGACCACCCTGATACCCTAACTCCCCACCCACCCATCACCCTGTTTTCATCACAGCTCTTAGCACAGGCAGCAATGATTGAATTTATGTGTTTTACATGTGTGTGTTCTCTTCCTTCTGTGAGAACTCCATTAAGCGGGGGCCACCTGTTTGGCCTTCTGAGGTGTCCCTGGCACCATGACTGAGGGGGACACAGAGGAGGGGCCCAGGAAATTCTCGTGGAATCAACGAATCCCTCGCCTTCCCGAGTTCCCAGATGCTTTGGCACCCCCACGCCAAGATGTCGAGCTCCCCGCTGCCTGCTCCCCTGCTGCTCTTTGTGACATCATAGGCTAGTGGCCCCTCCCTGTTCTTTCTCAGTGTCATTGCAGGGGCTCCCTGAGCTGCCGCTTGTCCCGTCTTCCATTCCGTTCTGTTCACGTCCCCACGACAGTTGTAGGTCCATTGCTGTGTGTCAGGCTTGCCTGGGTCTTGGCCCTGGTCACTTTGCAAAGCTTCCCCCCTTTTAGCGATCTCCACATCCAGCTGGCCCCTGGGCAATGATGGAGTGAGGGGCACTGCTGCCCGTGCAGCCAAAAAGCCAAAAACTTTTCCCGAAAATGTTACTACTGATAGCGTGCTGTTGACTGGAGGCCTCACTGATAACATAAACAGTCAATTAACACATAGATTGTATGTTATATGTATAATATACTGTATTGTTACAATAAAGTAAGCTAGAGAAAAGAGATGTTACTAAGAAAATCATAAGGGCGAGAAAACACATTTACAGTATTTATTGAAAAAAATCCTCAGATAAGTGGGCCTGTGTTGTTCAAGGGTCAGCTGTGTATTCACAGTCATATTCGCCTGCACAGCAAACCTGTGAGATATGCACCAGTATTGCACCTGCTGCAGTCATGATAGCTCAATGCTGTGGTGAGGAGGCAGAAACCCACCCAGACGCACAATGATGAGGCTCCACGAAGCATCCAGGTTTCCCCGGGGATAAATCAGATCATGGCCAGGATAGACCGGAGTTCCTCTGTGCAGGATCTCAGTACAGCAGGGTGAACACGTGATTTCCCGCTGCTTCCTACAGGTGGCCCTGGAGTGTCTGTACCATCGAGAGAAAAGGATTGGAATCGATTTGGTCCATGACAATGTGGAGAAAAACCTTATCCAGGTAAGGTGCCTCCTGGTGAGCCCAGCGCCCCCTAAGGGAGGAGGGAGGGCCAGCCGGTCAGAGAGCTTTCTGAGCAGAAGCCACCTGTCAGCCCATGCAAAGTCAGGGCTCAGAGAGCCAGGGTGGGGGCCGAGGTTGCAGTGTAGGAACAGGGAGAAAGATCATTTGACCCTCAGTCTTTTCATCTCTAAAATGGGCATCATGATCATTACACCAGTAAAAAATAATTTAAAAAGCTAGCATTTATTGAGCACCTACTATATGTAATTACACACTGTACCACTTCGTATGCCTTATGTAATTTCATGATCAAACAATCTATAGTTGAGTAGTTGGCAATGAGTTGGTGCTAGGTTTCCTTTTAACCTGGAAGTATATGAAAAGAGAAGAAAGTGGGTGAGGAGCATTGAAGCTCCACAATCAACCCTTATCTGTCTGTTCCGGGGATCACGTGGGGTGAGGCAGGACATGGGTCCCACCCTTGTTTTCAGCTTGTGGGGTCGAGGGTGGGCAATGAGAGGGGAGGGGTGGTCACTGGCCTGGGAGCCAGGCTGCTGTGCGTTTCTAAGGGGCGCCGCTGTTTCTGACGTTTTCATTAAAGGAGGTCGATTTGCTGAAATGCTGCCAAGAACAGATGAGAAAACTAGCTCAACGAATTGAAATACAGCTGCGGTAAGGGCTGCTTTCTCTCCCTCTTGGAGCTTGTTTGGGCCCCTCAGGTTGTGGGGAGCAAGCCAGATGGACCCCAGCTCTCAGTGGCTCTTTGGGTCAGTGGTGGACTGGTGTTTAACAACCAGCTCCCTAGGACAGAAAAAAAAAATCCTGATTTGGAGCATTCGTCAATGTCCGTGTATAAAGCTACCCCGATAGCTGATTCGATTCTACCAGTAGGGTAGAGTCAGCACATCACTGGTGGTTCCTGTTTGCAATGGGGGCCACAGCACAAGGAACTGCCCTCACGGTGGCCCCCTTACCTGTGGCTCCCCCTGTGAGCCCTGAACCTGGGGCGATGGCGAGTGGGTAGCATTCGCATCAAGGCAAGGGGCCGGGACATCTCCAGAGGGGAGCTGGTGGACGCCTGAGCCACGTGTCTTCAAAAGGAATCAGCTTTTAGTTCTTGGAAGATTGTGTAACTGGTATCATGACAAGCCAGGAGGCTCCCCCATAATTAAAGGGAGGCGTGAGTTTTACGGGGCTTGAGGCCCACAGCTAAGCCCTTGGCACCCAGCTCCTCCAAAGTCAGCCATTCTGCCTGGCCCTTGACCGGGGCACCTGCCTTTAACTCACGCAGGGCACGCTGCTCTGCTAGCTTCTTCTCTCCATTTCCTCAGACCCGGGTGGCAAGGGGCAGGATGGCAACCTTCCCAGGGCAACCCTTCCTGCTGTGGGGGGCACGTGGGCAGCCTGACGGGATGCTAAGGGGCCAGGCAGTGTGCAGATAGGCTCCGGGGGTTTGGTGCCCTGGCTTGCTATACCCCAGGAACAGTAGTATCCTCCCCCCCGTCCTGCATCCCCCCTACAGCAGCCCCTCAACTCCACCGCAGTGAGAACTGGGTGACAGGGTTTGGAGAGAATCACCCAGGACAAAAAGCACCCAGGCAGTGTTGAAAAGCTACCCCCAGAACATGAGGGCATGGTCAGGGGCAGATTCAGGGAGCTGCGAAAGGAGGGGTGGTTGGAAATGAGGTGCAGGCACAGCAGTGGGTGAAGGGCCTGTTGAATGGCTGAGGCGGGGTTAAGTTCTGTCTCTTACACGGTCTGTCCTGATTTCTCACCATTCCACGTGGACCACTGGTTGCCTAATGTTGTCTATAAATTAATTCACTTTTTTAAAAACCTTAAATCCTTGGATTTAAACAGGAAAGTTGGGGCAGGCAAACACCTCTATTATATTTGTATTGCTCTTATTTTGACAATTATGTATTTCTGGCACAAGAGATGATTTTCCATTTGTTGTTGACATAAGGTTGTGACAGAACTCAGTGTTGGGGTGACAGGAGGGCTGAAGTTTGGGGAACAGGACAGTTTGAACCAGCAGAGTAAATAAATGCCCAGACTTGAAATTGGGGAGCTGGATCCTGAAAGAGAAATTCTGAGACTAGGGTGGGGGTGGAGGGGCTGCTTTGCAACCCCAGGCAATGAAGGGTGAGGTGGGAGAATTGGGGGAACCAGAGAGACCGAGACAGACTAAGACAGTCCCATCCCCTGGGAGACATAGAGGGGGCCTGACGTCAGAGGGAGAGAGACAACAAGAATGACATGAAGTGAAGGACAGAGATGTGTATGTCTCGGGGAGACAGTGGGACAGAGAGACACAGATGTGCCAGACAAGGAGAGAAATCAGGCGTTAGAGACAGAGAACAGATGGAGAGGGACACAGAGGAAGAGGAAGAGAGCGAAGATGCTGGAGGGACACAGATGAAGCAGCTGAGACAGAGGAGGTGGGAGGGAAAGAGCAGGTGTAGGGGACATTCCCTTGGCAGGACCAGAGTTCGGGCCACCTGGATAGAGGCTATTGGACCTCAAGGAGCGGCTGTTCGTCAGAGGCTGCCTGGCATCTTGCAGGGAGGCAACCCGTGTTGCCGGGCAGCCTGATTCACCCAGAACTGGCCAGAGCTTCAATGCCGTGTGTGCTGGCCGCCTGTGGGAGGCTCTGCCACTGACCCCCTCGGGTAGCCAACCTGGCACGGGCAGGCCTGGGCTGGCTGCTGACTTGTGGTTTTGTGGGTGAGGCCCGAGGCCCGCACCTGGGCAGGATCGTGTCCTCGGCTCACCAGCTCTCTAACAAAGCAGAAGGCTCTTCCTGATGGGCCAGAGCCAAGTTCCTGCTTTTCCTGGTGGACCAACAGCCGGGTGAGCCTCGACATGGGCTGGGCTCTTCGTCACGGGCCCACGAAGGGAGACAGGGGCTGTCCCATCCTTCCCTGGTCATCACCAGTGAGGGCCAGGAGTCTGGACCAGCTGGCCAGGGATACTGAGGCCCCAGGTGCCCCTCCAATACTCTGGCAGTTCTTTTCTACGTTCTGGTCTTTCTTTACTTGCCAGTTCATTAGACAAGACGGGGCTCTATTTCTCCACGGCGCTGCCCAATCCGAAGGCTCCAGGGTGGTTCCTTCTGCCCAGCATCTCCCCTGAGTATCCTGATAGGTGGGGGCCCACCATCAGGATTTCATTTTCTGGCTCCTGGCCTGTTTGAAACCCTCACCAGCTCCCAGTGTCGGTAGCAGAAAAAGAAAGTGGCAAAAAGATAGACAGGGACAGACTGGCGAGAGGGAGTGGGAGAGGGAGAGAGGCCTTAAGACATAGAGAAAGCAAGAAAGATGAGGGAAAGAGAAAAAGATGTCAGAAAGGGATAGAGAGTTAGAGAGATAGAGGAAGAGAGAGAAAAGGGGAGAGAATGAGAGGATGCAGAAGGGGAAAGAGAGAGACCAGTGTAAGATGTGCACCCATCACTTTAGCTGGTGTCTGGACCTCAACTTGCTTAGTCAGAGTTGGTCCCTTATTATCTTCCAGTTCTTCAAGGTGAAAGTCCCCGTCGACACTTAGGTGTCTTTAACTGACGAATCTACTCTTTTCAATCAAACAGAAAAAGGTCCAGGCCTAGATTCTTCTAGAGACGATGGATTCTGCTGGGATTCTGTTAGTGCTTGCGTAGTGTTTATGTTTGGGGTGACCTATCGGAAAATTTGTTGGTTTTCCTTTAAAGACTGTGATAGAGGTTTTCCTTTTACAATACATTTATTTATATTCTAGAAGTTACTTCATAAAAAGACAAGTAGCAAGTAAGTAGTAGTATATACAATTTGGGAATATGACAAGAATCATGAAAGTGGTTCTCCTATGTTCAGAGTTTGGCAAATAGTGGCCTTTATGTCTAAACTTCTTAGCCAAGATACCAGCCCTGGAGGCTCAAATCCTGGGCCCTCCCTACTGTCCTCTCCTTACCTCTGCCCAGTCCCTGACCAGCCAGTCCCTGAGTGCCCAGTCCCTGACTCTGCCCAATCCCTGAGTGCCCAGTCCCTGACCATCCAATCCTTGGCTCCACCCAGTCCTGGACTCTGCCCAGCCCCTGGCTCTGACAACCTTACTGAGCTGCTTCTAGGTCCCTAAACACCTGCAGGTCTCTAGCGCCTCTGCTTTTGCACACGAGGTGTCCTCGGCTTGGAATTCTCACCCCCCACCCAACTTTGTCTGGAATGTCTGCTCCTGTCATTATGAAATTCCAGCCCAGACACCTCCCTGGGAAGCCTTCCCTGGTTACCCCCGCACCCTGAGCTGATGGCGTCCTCCTGAGTGTCTCTGTGTGTCCTTTACAAACCTGCACCGTTGCCCTTATTATTCTGTAGTTTTACTGTATTTATTTACACAAACCTCTGAGCAACGTGAAGGTAAGCGACTGGGTCTTATTCATGTCTTCTCCCTCTGTGCCGGGCATAGGATGAGACACATGGTTTAAAGCGATACCGGGCTTTGTCCAAAGTATGAATTCGTATCTTCTCAATCGGGTTAGCAAACTACAGCTGGAGGGACAAATCTGGCCCACCACTTGTCTTTGTAAATAAAGTTTTATTGGAATGCAGCCATACCCATAACGTACGTATTATCTATGACTGCCTTCTGCATAGCTGAGTCATTGCTACAGAGACTGACAAATCCTAAATGTTTAGTATTTGACCCTTTACAGTAAATGTTTGCTCACCCCTGTTCTAATGACAACAGGCTTGCTTGGACTGGGGGGAGGTTGAGGGGTTGGGGGGAAGTCCTCAGTATGCGGTGGGGACATCGAAGTGGAAAGAGGGCTGAGAAGCTGCTGGGTAGACAGAGCACCCTGCTGGGAGTTCAAAGACTTGGTTTTCAGCAGTGGCTCAGCACCGACCTCCCATGAGACCTCTGGCGAGGGACTCCGGATAAGGGCACAGCCCAGAGATAAATCCTTGACCCCGCTCCCCCCCACCCCTTCCACCCCAGGGATAACCGAGATGCTCAGCATACTGTGGAGAGGGACCTTGAGGACAAAAGCTCAGCCCAGTTTATTGACGAAAAGTGTTTTAACCTGAGGAACACATCCGACTGCATCAGCTTCTTCCATGGCATGGAGAAGGTCGATGGCACGTAAGTACTGGGCTCTGGGTCCCCATCTGGCCCTGTCCAATGGGAGGGGGGGCTCTGCGTCTGCTTCCACCAAACAGCCTTAAAGGGGCATTGATCCTGCGCCAGTCAAGTGAGAGGCAGAGTGGTTCAATGGGGACCCTCGGTGGCAACCCACAGCATCCAATTCTGGCTAAAAAACGTAAGACAAGATGAAATTTACTGGAGAGCCACAGACTCAAGGGGAAGGCTGGAGGGGAAGGCTCTGGCAGCTTGAACGAGCCAGGAAGTGAGACCTAATCAGAGCACCACCATCCTGCCATTCTTGCCCGCCCCCCTTGCCCAAGATTCAAATTCCAACAAGACAGAGCAAGCGATCGGCTTAGTGAGGGTCACCGGCCACTGCTGCTGGGCCAGTACATGCTGGGACACCTCGATTGGCAATGCCACCAAACAAACCCCACAACAACATGGCTGTAACCAGAGGGAGAGGAATTCAAGCTCAGCTGGGAGCAATTGCTGTCCACCAGCGCTGGTAGGGGTTACAAGTGGACCCCTGCTGCCCGGCCTCAAATCCAGCCTCAACCCTGGCACGTGGGGTGAACTACTTCATCCTCTGGGCCTGTTTCCTCATCTGTAGCCCTGGAATGATAATAGGGCCCACTGCCCAGAGTTGCTATGAGTATAAAATGGTGGGCGTGTGAAGTGCTGAGCACAGAGCCTCGTGTATGACAACAGCCAACATTTATTAAGTGCTTGCTGTATGACCTTATTGTCTCAGCCCCGCAGCTATGAGGTAGGTGCCTTCTGTATGCTGGGCACTGTTGTGGGCATGTCACAGCATCCCGGAACTTCATGTAGAGCTGAAGCATGCTTTCCCACTCGGTAGCTTGAAGGCTGGAGAGAGAGACACACATACACAGAGAGAGAACAGGAGAGAGACTGGGTACAGGCAGGGGTGGTGTCCAGCTTGAGCCCTTTAAAAAAATCTCTTGCCTGTAGATTTGTGCTTGTCATATAGTAGGTGTGCAATGAATATTTGTTGAATGAAAGAATGAATGAAAGGGGGAAGAGAGGGAGAGAAGGCGAAAGGAAGGGAGAGAGAAGGAAGGAAGGAAGGGAAGGCGTTGGTGGCAGTCTCCTGGACCACCTTCTGTTTTTTTGTTTTTTAAAAATATATATTTTATTGATATTTTTTACATAGAGGAAGGGAGAGGGGATAGAGAGTTAGAAACATTGATCTGCTGCCTCCCGCACACCCCCTACTGGGGATGTGCCCGCAACCAGGGTACATGCCCTCAACCGAAATCGAACCTGGGACCCTTCAGTCCGCAGGCTGAGGCTCTATCCACTGAGCCAAACCTGTTAGGGCTCCTGAACCACTTTCTGGATCTTAAAATATACGTGTTGAGAGGACCCTTTGGCGTTTCCAGCGAATGGCAGCCCCTGGGGGCCTTGCTTTTCCTGACAAGGTGGACCCCCCTATGGCACTGGCAAGGTGGGCAGGACTTTAGGGGGCTTAGTGCCCTCATCCACAGCTGCCCATCAGGACAGGGAGGGGGAGGACTGCCTTTCCACACGATGCCTTCCTGAAACCCAGGCAGCCAGGCTGCTGGGCTGGTGGAGACTCCGACTTCCATGCCCAGGAGGGCTGCTATTTAAAGTCCCTCAGCCAGCACCTCCACTGCTGTTTGTGGTGACTAATCGCTCCTCAGGTGTGCTAGCTCAGGGTTTTTATTTGGGTTTCTTTTTTAAAAAAAATCTTTGTTGCTGAGAGTATTACAGATGTCCCCATCCCCCCACCCCGTTATCCCCCTCCCCCTAGTTCCCGCCCCACCCCAGTCTTTCACCCCCTATTGTCTGTGTCCATGGGCAATGCCTATATGCAAAAAAGTTCTTTGGTTAAAAGCAGGGCCGTATCTGGGCAGCTTAAAGGTTGTTTGGAGACTCTGAATTGCAGTTGTCTCTGTTCACCTAAGTTCTCTTTGCCACGGGGTAACTGATAATGGAGGTGGTGGTGGTGGTGGTGGTGGTGGTGGTGGTGGTGATGGTGATGGTGATGATGGTGATAGTGGGTGTCTTTTCCCTGATGTTTACTATGTCCCAGGCCCCTTGCTGAGAGCTTTGCACACAGTGTCCCATGAATCATAAATATCTTATCGAGTGTTTACTATTGTCAGGTGCTGTGATGGGGGCTTCACATTTAGTCACTCAACAACCACAGGGTTAGGCACCATGATGATCCCCACTGACAATGAGGAAGCTGAGGCTCAGAGAGGTGACACTCCTGGCCAAAACTCACACAGTGAGGGGCCAAGCCACGATCTGAGCCCGCATTGGGTGGACACTGAGCCTGTAGGTCAGGGGTCCTCAAACTTTTTAAACAGGGGGCCAGTTCACTGTCCCTCAGACTGTTGGAGGGCCAGACTATAGTTTAAAAAAAAACTATGAACAAATTCCTATGCACACTTCACATATCTTATTTTGAAGTAAAAAAACAAAACGGGAACAAATACAATATTTGTATTTGCATGTGGCCCGTGGGCGTAGTTTGAGGACCCCTGCTGTAGGTGTTATCCCGGCACCTTCCTGCCTCCCCAGCAAAGCCTGCCGTCTCTGTCTTTAGTTCAGAGGACACAGGCTACAGGAAGCACGTCCGCCTCCCACCGAGGCACTCCGCCTGCCAGGAGACGGGCTGCCCTGGCACATCTCCCCAGGGAGACTGTGATTAGCGGGTCATTTTCTCTGGAGCCCAGCCGCCTGCTCCAGAGGAGGGCGAGGGCAAGGGCTCCCAGGTGGCTGCTCCTGACATTGCCGGTGCCCCATGCAGCAGCGGGTGAACCTGCTGCTCTCTTCTGCTGTGCTTGGTGCCGCCTCCTCCCTCATCTGATGGCGAGGAGCTGTGTGGCCTTGGACAGGACACTTCACTTCTCTGAGCCTCAGGTCTTTGTTGGAGGACAGCCCTGCAGGCACGGTGCCTCTCCCACCTCCAGAAGCCCAAGACCCCTGTCTATTGCTGAACGTTAACGCCTGCGAAAGCCAGGACAAAACCACCATATATGCTTGAAAATGTCTACCCACCATGCAATCCAAGCGTGCTTTAAAACATCTGGAATGAGACTTCTATTTCAGAAAATTCACTCTCTTTTTCCTACTGCCCGAGAATAGAAATGGACTTTATTTAAGAACTGGACAGACCTCCTGGCTAGAAAAAGCCTTGAAAAGATATCCCGTCTGGTTTACGCAGGAACTGAAACCAGCTCGAAGGCCCCCCAGAGGACAACACTCTTGCTCGTCGGTGGTTTGTTGTGGGGTTTCTGTATCTCCAGGAAGGGCTTTCTGTTGCCTAGACTGAATCCCTGATGAGTCGCCGCCTATGAAAAGCCTCCCTGCCTGCCCTTTCCAAGGCAGCCTGTGTCTCCATTCAGCCCCTACCCACCTTCATTCCTTGGCTGTAGAGGCAGCTGCCCTCTACAGACTGGCTCTTTGCCATCTGGTTTCCGGTTGAGTTCAGCCAATAGGAGGGGCAGCAGCAGGAGGCGGAGGGAGGAAGGAGGAGAAGGATGTGGGGACTTACCCTCCCTTGCTCCCGCTCTCCCTCCCTCCCAGCGATCCTCCAAGCCTCCTCCTCTCCTGCCTGTCCCTCTCCTCTTGCCCTTCAGAGCCGAGTGGTAACAACTTTGTGCAATAGCTAATCCATGAGCACCTCGACACCCTCGGAGCATAAATTCCATTTCTTTCTTTCTATGACCCTGACACATGATGGCCCCGCTCCATTTGTCTCTCTTCATCACCCTGCTCCTGAATGCCTTCATAGCCCAAACACCCTGTGTAAGCATCTTTATTTATTGTCTGTCTCCCTCCACTGGAAATGTACCGCCACGAGGTCAGGGATGTTGCTGTTCTTGTGTCTGGCTCTATCCTGACTGTGTAGATTCAAGGCTTGCCATGTAGTCATTGTTCAAAGAACACTCGTTGAGCAAGTAAGTCAGTGCAAGTAGCATGGCCGCATGCACCTCCCTGAACGGAAGGGACCCCGCAGCCAGCACGGTGCCCGTCTCTGTGCATTTGGTGGAGGAGGAGGAAGTGTTATGGAAATGAGCCTTTCTGGGACTCTCTACTCTCCCATAACTCACCCGGGAAAGCAGCTGCTCTCTCTGCACTGCAGTGGCCTCACCTGTAAAATGAGGGGGTTGGATGAGCCCAGGGGTTCTCAACTGGGGACCATCGTGCAATGTCTAGAGACATTTTTTGTTTGTCACACTGGAGGGGCCTTGCTGGGCCTTGCTGGCATCTGTCGGCAGAGGCCAGGGCTGCAGCTAAACATCCTACAGTACATGGGACAGTCTCCCACCACAGTGTCTGACCCCGACGGCAGGTCAAGAGAGCTGAGGCTCAGCCACCCTGGATTCGGAGGTCTCCCAGGCCTGCCACACCTGTGCTGAATTCCCTTGTGCCTCTTGCAGGATCTCCGTGCCTGAGACCTGGGCCAAGTTCAGCAATGACAACATCCGGCACTCGCAGAACATGCGGGCCAACTCCATCCGGCTGCAGGAGGAGGCCAAGAACCTCTTTGACACCCTGTCCGATCAGATGTGGAAACAGTTCACCAACACCAACCTGGCTTTCAACGCCCGCATCGCCGAGGTGACCGACGTGAAGAATAAGCTGCAGATGCAGCTCGCTAAGGTCAGTAAGCCAGAGGCGCCTCAGGACCGGTGTCCACTCTTCCACACCCTCACCTTCCTCCCGTGGTCTCCGCAGCATCTGGCCATGCTGTCTGACCACCCCTGCCACGGACCTGCTCCCACCTGTCACACAGCCTGTGAGCGTGCCCAGCCCAGAGGCGGGCAGGGGCCGGGAGCTTCCTAGGAGGATTCGAGCATCCAGGGGTAAATCTCCCTTGCTCCCTGCATGTTGGAGCTGGGCTGTCCCCACAGCACCCAAAGGCTGCTGATGGCTGAGAGGGCCGAGGATGGGTGAGGATGTCAGAGCCCCAGACCTACCCCCCTCACATCAGCATCTTTGAAAACGTGACCTTTTGACCTTTAAGGGCTTCAACAGCATCAGGACCCCGTGTGGAGGGGTGAGGTGCTTTTGGAATTTGAGGAGTAGGCCGGACTGTCAAGTTCTGTCACTATCTCCTTGCCACTCCCATACTCACATGCCCCTTTCGCTACTCCCTTGTTCCAATGTGTCATGCTGTTGCACACCTCCGGGGAAGCCTTCTCTGTGTGGGATTTACCCTCCCCGCCCCATATAAATGTAGACAGCCTGCTGGAGCCAGAGCAGCTCTCCTGGTCCCCCCTGCTTAGCATACTGTCTGGCACACAGCAGACACTCCTTAAATCTTTGTGCGACGAATGAAGGGAATTACAATGATAACTTTTGAACCGATGTTTTTAAGAGAATGATGCAAGAACAAGTGAATGCTTTTAATTTCAAGTATCTTCTTTCTGTCTTTCTCTTTTTTGTAGGGAAAATCGTTTTTATATTGTGGTCAAATATACATAAATAATTGCTATTGGCGCCCTAGCCAGTGTGCCTGAGTGATTAGAGCATCGGCCTGCACACTGAAGGGTTGTGGGTTAGATTCCCAGTCAAGGCCATGTACCTGGGTTGCAGGTTCCAGCCCCGGCCCTGGTCAGGGTGTGTGCAGGAAGTAACTGATGGGTATTCTCTCTCTCTCTCTCTCTCTCTCCCTCTTTTTCCCCCTCTTTCTTCCTCTCTTAAAAATCAATAAAAAACATATACTCAGGTGAGGTTTAAAAAAACGGGAAGAGTTCCTACTTGGCATTATATTAATGAGTGGATCTCTGTGGAGCTTGTAGAACAGAACTTGGCACATGGTAAACACTCAATAAAAAGGTAACAAGTATAAATACTATTATCCATGGAAAGAAAAAGGATCTTCTGGGTGGAGGTGGGGAGCAAAACCTTTTCCCTTTCCAAATTTCTCCGGGGAAGTTTTGAATGATTACTAACAGCCTCATCACTGCTGATCAGAGTTTTTGCAACCACATGAATTTTTATTAATAGTCATTATATAACCACCAGCTGCTTTGCAAATAAGCCAGCACCCGTTTGAGATCTACCAAACCCCAACACGACACTACTGACAACACTGCCTGACCAAGAACTTATCTTTGGCTTTGTTAAGATGGTAAAAGAAGGAGTTGATGTAATGAAGATAAAGATATAGCAACCATTTCACCTTTTCCCAGTTTGTTTCAGCCGGAGGGTTTGAAATGCTCCCTTTAAAACTTTAACTGTTAATTGTTGAGCTTGGTCTGATCCCCTTGGCAAGAGGCATTTCTGGAAATTCTAGGCCCTCATCCTCACCTGTGCTTGGAAGCAATTAAATCATTGCCCAAGTGGTCATGGGAACCCACTCGAAAGGCCAGGTCTACACAGCTTCCCATGTGGACATTGAACCATCCCCATCCCCCCCCCCCCCCCTCCAGTGGTTTGGGGATGTGTACCCAGCCTTAGCTGTTCACCATGATCCTGGGCTTCCAGCCCCCAGGCCACACCCCAAACCTTACAACTTGTCCTGGCCCCTCCTCCTTGTACTTTGTCCTTGCACTGGGGGTATGTCTTGGTCATGTTGCCCACGGCTAGGAAAGGGGCTGGTGGCTTCTCTGGGCTGAAGCAGTTGATGACCATCAAGCCCTTGAGAACTGATCTGTCCTGAGAACCAGGGTCCTGGGGGGTCTCCAGATAAACATAAGTCCCCACTTGCATCCACTTACCCTAAAAGGTTGAATGTGCCTTTTAGGGGGAGGATTCTAGATGAGGGGAAAAGATGCAAGGACTTACGGGGAGGAAATATGGAGCAGGGACACCGCCATAGAACAGCGCTCATTCTAAAGGTGTAGGAGCTCGACCTGATGGGAAATGATAGCAGGTGTGTGACTTGGACATAGTGTTAATATCATTGAATCACATCACACAGTGAGAAAGCTATTCCTTCTTCAATCTGTTTACATCCTTGTGATGATCTCAGTGTTACTGGACAGGGACAGGCCTGGAGCGGGGCTGCCTCAGGTCAGCCTGTAGTGTGTGGGTTCTCGACTTGGTGTTGGAAAGATTTCACGACCTGAGTGCAGGTGGGTTTGAGAGTCATTTATTAATGCCTGGGACAGTGAAACAAAGGAAAAATTAGGGTGGAAGAAACAGCAGGGGTGGGTCTAGGCAGTGCTCTGCGTTGACTCCCTAGAAGTGTTGCAGGAAAGAAGTGAGCCAAGGCAAGTGAAGGTCACGGTGATAGAAGTGAGCAAGGCGGGGCTGCTTTAGCTCACTGGGAAGTTAGAGAAATGAGGGTCCTTGGAGACAGGATCAGGGGGTGAGCTTTGGTCAACTTGCTGCTGCTCACCACTCCCCTAGTTGCAAGTCTTGTGGGCACCCTTAGAGTTTAGGAAGAGATAAAAAGTTCATATCTGGGGCGGGACTTGGGCGTGCTAGACAAGCCTGTACTGAGTCTTGGTCCTGAGGGCTTTCTATCGCCTTTTTTTCCTGCAGGTGAGAATCTTAGGGGAGGGTTTCAGTGGAATATTCATCAGCTTTCCGGGTGCATTTTTAATAGGCTGACGCATCAAAATGAGCATGTAGGGGAATTTGGGATTATTCTTTGGTCTGTTTTATTGTTTTATTTTTTATCTTGGGTCTGTCTGCCTTTAATGTTGTTGTTTTTTTGTTATTTATTCCCCAACTTCATCTGTCCTTGGGCTTCACTGGCACACATGGCACTAAGTGGGTCTTTGTTCGCTATTTTCCCAGGCTAGGGTGATTAAGCTATGTATTCTCTGGTTAGGGCGGGGAGGTAGTAACCATTTGCTTCCAAGTGTCCTTGGTTGGGGAAGGTAAGGTCTTGCAGTTCGCCAGCTGGCTGTAAAAGGTTCAAATTGCTTGGCCTGGTTTCATTTTCTTGCCGTAGTTTCCCCATTCTACTTGCCCAGAGATTTTCCTAGCTTCTCACTGTCTTGCCTCATCAAGAGGAAGGTCTCGGTTGGATGCTGCAATGCCTCCCTCATCCCTTTAACACGGTCTGATTTCCCTTTTACACAGAGTGAGGACCTCAGGTTAAGGAGGCTGGGCAGGCAGCAGTAGCCAGCCAGAGCTGAAACAGCATTGTTTTACGTTCATCTTGTTTCATGCATTTTTATGGTGATTTCCACTTAGGACAAATGATGCTGATTTTCTGCTGAGGATAGTAATATAAAATGTTATTTTTTAAAATATATTTTTATTGATTTCAGAGAGGAAGGGAGAGGGAGAGAAAGATAGAAACATCAGTGATGAGAGAGAATCATTGCTTGGCTGCCTCCTGCATGCCCCCTACTGGGGATCGAGCCAGGGCACGTGCCCTGACCAGGAATCAAACCCATGACCTCCTGGTTCATAGGTCAACGCTCAACCACTGAGCCACCTTGGCCAGGCTAAAGTGTTATTTTTAAATAAACACATTTAAGGCTTTTTGAAAATGAATTGCCTGGAAGATTGTTAATCGTGTTGTGAGGGGATATGGCAAACATGGTAAAGATGGTTGGTGGATGCCTGGCATTTAGAAAACAGTAGTGTAGACCTCTGTATCTCAAACATTACTGCGTGCATAGTAATCACAGTGTCACCTGGGGACTGAGTCACAATGCAGGCTCTGATTGAGCGGGTCTGGGGTCGGGCCTGAGAACCTGCATTTGAACGGGGTGGTAGGAAATAGCGGGAGTGTGGGTTGTAGAGTGCTTTGTCTTTGACAAACATCTGGGTAAGCAGCTGTCTCCTTCCCTTCTCTCCCTCCCTCTCCCTCCTCCTCCCTCTTTCTTCCTCCCTTCCAGGCTCAGAATACTCAGAGAACCAAATCCTTCTTAAAGGCAATCCTGGGTCATTTAATTCTCATCAGATTTTCTCTAATTGCATTTTGCTTCCGAGCTTCTGAGTCAAGTCCCATCACTCCTCCTGCACGGGGCCAGCCCAGCTTGCCCCTCACACAGACGGGGCCCAATGTGTGCAGATGCCAACGCCCCTCTGTGGTTCCTGACACCCTCTGCAATGTGTGCCCTTGAGTCACATTGCATTTTCCCACCTTGGTTGTTAATGTTAATAATCTCAAATTCCCCTACGCGCTCATTTTGATGCATCAGCCTATTAAAAATGCACCTGGAAAAATGAGGTTATTGGCTGGAGGATCAGGACAAGCCAGGAGCACCGCCTGGATTAGGCTGCCAGCATATCAGATAAGCTGAATTTCTCTGCCTCCTCTCCACAGCTCATCCCCCGCCCCCCCCCCCGCCCCCCCGCCCCCCCCCCCCTTGCAGGCTCTCTCAGAGGCAGCCGACAGGAGGAGCCCGCTCTCACCCTCAGACTTTCACCCGCCCGCCTGCCCGCTCCACTTGGAGCCCTCCCATCTCAGTTGGTGGCTCCGACTTCCATATGCTTCTAGGCCCTTCCAGGGCTTTGACTCCCAGGTGCTCCATCCCAAACCTTGGAGTCCACTTAGATGCCTCTCTGGGTCCCCCCCCCACATCCTCCACTCCATCAGCAAATGCAATTGGTTCTACGTTCGAGTGTCATCACTCCTCGCTCCCTGCCCTGCTCCCCGCTGGCCTGGGTCTCCACCACCTCTTGCCTGGATTATTGCTGCGGTCTCCTAACTGCTCTGTTTGCTTTCGATGTTGCCAGTGATTAGCTGG